TTTTGAATATAATCACACCCTAATATTAGGATGTCATCACTGCATCTGTTCTACGATCTGATTCCTTGCTGGGTTGACACGTGCCAGTTGAGTTGCCAACCACTAAGATTTGAATTTGAAAAAGTAGACTTTCTCGTGATGTAATAGGATTCTCTCCGGATTCTTCTATTCGGATCCTCCGAGGATCCTTCCATTCGGATACTCCGAATTTTGCAATCATGTTCGTTCAATCGAAAATCAAACGGTATTAATTAACTTTCTTTTTTACTTTTTCCCTTTCTCACTCGGTCTCTATCTGAGAGGATTGGTTCCATTTTTTAGCAACCGGAGGCCGAAGGATGACGGTGTGGCACCCGTCAAAGAACGCAGAAAATTGAAGGATCCGAATGGAAATGATCCGAAGAGAATCTCTACTTTTTACCCAAAGTGACATCAAGCCTAGAGTACAATCTAAAATGACTTGTACATAATAATGTATTAGTGAACAAAAATTAATACTAGGGAGAGTAAATTTTTTAAATAAATTGATATGTCACCAATAAGAAACAAGCACGTTAACTGAAACTTAATTAATAATCCACTCATCTACAACCACATTATTTAGTTTTCAAATTTGGTTTAAAAAATTTGGTCTTCCTAGCATACTCGTGAACAAAATGTCACACAACTGTGAACGCATTGTGTAATGCTAGAAAGACTAAATTTGCAAACTAAATGATATGTCACTAATAGGAACATGCACGTTTATCAATTTGTAAGTAATAAATCAATCATCAACTTTCATATCTTTTAATTTTTAAAACTTTATCTACAAATTTAGTATCTCTAGCATTTCGTGTAAACCAACTCCTAAAACAACTCCAATATCGTCGTTTTCTTATTGTATGGGGGTCCCGCCAAACTTTACGTGGACAGCCGGACAGGTGCGCGGGCGTAAACTTTTGAATTAAAATTCACTCTCTCTTTTTTTAAAAAAGGAAACAATATTGCAACGTAACCTTTTGCAACTTTTCTTTCACTTTTTTCTTTGTCTGTGAGGTGCAGATATTTTACTGATCCCTGACAGATGCAACCTTCTTTTTGGGTCGGTCGACATATGTCACTAGTTGAAAGACCGGAGCTTGTGAAGGACTTGGTAAAGACTGAAGACAGAAGACAGACAACAAATTTGAACATCAACGTATGCGCTTCGTCTTTATGTGTTCCACTGTTCCTCTCTGATCATCAGTAGCCACAGCAAGATCCATTGATTTGATAGGTAAAAATTCTCTCTTTTTCTGGATTTCAATTGTTGGTTTTAGCCGCAGCTGCAACTGTAGTAGTAGAAATTGTGTGTTTAATCATGCTTTTTTTGGTACCAGTTTCTTCATGTTGTTTAGATTAAGAGCCTCGAGTAGTAAAGTGTTTTCTGTTTTTGAATTCGATCATGGGTTTTCGTCCTAGTGATGTCTACTTTAGCCTCGCCGAGTGTAGCGATTTTCATTCGCCATGAATGATAGTTTGTAATCTTCTTTTACAAGTTTTGTCCATTGTTTGTTCGAATTTTTCATCAGCTTCTTGGGATGGTCAAGTTTCCATGATTTGCTTGTTTTTCGTGTAATTTTTATGACCTGTATCTTTGGTTTTCAGAGATGGGGTTACAATCTGAAATGTCGACTGTGCACCCATGACTTGTCGTACGATTTTTGGGACTCTGGCATTGAACATCTGGTGTTATTTTTAGGGTATTGATCGTGATTCCATGAACATGTAAAAGATGCCGATCGAGGTACAGCTTGGTTTTAGCATTCTAAATTGCAATTACGACGAATGAGCATGCTGGTGTAGAGTCTGTAGATCGGGGTTCTGTTGGTGCTTTTTGAGATTTGAACTTTCCGAATGCAAGAGATTCATTGTTTGAATTTCAGTTTTGGCTGCAATGCGACTCCGGCTGTGTTAGTAGTATAAAAGAGATTGATTAAAGACTTCACTTGAGATTGGAGTACCACTAAGATGGCTACAAGGCTGATGACAACAATGTTCTTTGTTTTTCGACATCACAAAAGGGACGGCTTACTTAGTGACAAAAATCGCAGAAGAGATGAGATCTCCAGTACCCCACCTTCTTCAAATAGCCAAGGTTTTCGAAAACGTTTCCACGGGATTCTTTCTCAGAAGATCGATTGGGAGTCCATGAGGAAAATATGCAAAAAGTGGATCAAGAACCCTCTGAATATGGCGCTCCTTTTGTGGATAAGTTGTGTTGCTGTCTCCGGAGCAATCCTTTTTCTTGTGATGACAGGAATGTTAAACCATGTCCTGCCGGCACAGTCTCAGAGAAATGCGTGGTTTGAGATTAACAATCAAATCATCAACGCTCTCTTCACTCTCATGAGTCTTTACCATCACCCAAAAAGGATCCACCACCTTGTACTTCTCTTAAGATGGAAGCCGAAAGATGTCACATTTCTCAGAAAAATATACTGTAAGAATGGAACTTACAAGCCCCATGAACGGATGCACATTCTGGTTGTTGTTGCATTCCTCCATCTGAATTGCTTTGCTCAGTATGCCTTGTGTACGCTTAACTTGAGATACAAAAGATCTGAGCGACCGGCTATTGGTGTTGGTATCTGCCTTTCAGTTGCAATTGCTGCTCCTGCAATCGCAGGTGTGTACTGCATTGTCAGCCCCCTTGGAAAGGAGTACGAAGTTGATAGCGAATCGCAGGATCATATTCTCACAAATCAAACGAGGAAATTTTCATTTGCATCTAGGAATGAGCAAGGGATTGCTGAATTTGCACCTCAATGGAGAGGGGGTTTATTTGATTTTCGGGATGATATTGCCATATCTTATCTCTCTTTTTTCTGCACCTTTTGTGTTTTTGGATGGAACGCCTGAAAGGCTTGGATTTGGCAACATGTATGTTCACATTGCAACATTTCTCCTCTTCTGCACAGCCCCATTTTGGATCCTCAGTTTAGCTGCCTTCCATATTGACAACGACGTTGCAAGAGAAGCCATGACTTTAACCGGCATTGTCCTTTGTATGTTTGGCTTGCTCTACGGTGGCTTCTGGAGAATCCAAATGAGGAAGAGGTTCAACTTGCCGGCGAATAACTTATGCTGTGGAAAGCCTGCAGTAACAGACTCTGCACAATGGCTTTTCTGCTGCTGGTGCTCACTAGCTCAGGAAGTTCGAACTGCGAATTTCTACAGCATAATGGAAGATAACTTGTGCAGGAAGCAAATGTCTGAGCACGAAAATCCCTCACTAGTCCCTTTGCGGCGTGAAAGCGGAAGAACTCAATATAGATCTGGCTCAAATTATCTACCTTCAAGCAGAGTTGAAAAAGATAATGTAGACAGACAGCTCCCCATGGAACCCCCTGTTCCATCCAGAATACGGAGAGAAGAAAAAATCGAACTGAAGACGTGAAAAGGAATGAACTACTGATGAAGCTCTCAGAAGAGTGCTGGCACTGCTATGTGATTTTGATAAACATACATAAATTTTGTATCTTCGTATATGCTTCTTTAGTTCCATCATATCCTCTGGTTTTAATCAGTGCCTCATGTTTTCAATCATCTTTACCTGCAGTGTGTTGCAATGATATATGAAATTATACTGCATCTATAATTTCTTCAGTTCCATCATGCCCTCTGGCACTATTGTTGTCTGTAGAAAAATTATAAAATACGCAATTTGGAGTGCAGTAAACAAGGACTGGGAGTGCCAAAATCGCTACTCTTATTTTATCGGAGGTGAACTGAAGATACTGAAAGTTACTGCCTGGGAGTACCGAAATCGCTACTCCTATTCTATCAAAGGAGAACCAAAGGTACCAAAAGCTAAATTGGGAGTAGCAAAATCACTACCCTTATTTTATTAGAGGAGAACCAAAGGTACCGAAAGCTTAATTAGGAGTGGCGAAATCCCTATTTTTATTTTATCAAGTAAAGAAAGGTACTGAAAACTGTTGGAATTTGGTGGCTTAGATTAGAGCCACACTTCGTCGCACATGGGCTAAGGAGGAGAGCCATTTATGGTTTATAAGGAATGTACTACACACATGTTGTCGAGGTTTTTAGGTAAAACTTGATATCTGTTGCTTTCAGATGGCTAAAGTAGAGAGAATATCGGCAATACCAACTCGTGTGTGTGTGACCCGTTAATGCGCTTTCCGCACAACAAAAACTGAACTGAGAATGTCTAAATCACTACCCGTATTTTATCAACGGGGAAACGTAAAGCGCATAGTTAGTGCAATGCAACAAGGGTATCGAAATAAGACATCTTTATTCCTTTGTTACCACACAAAATATGCAAGAGCTAATACCACTATGATTTTGGTGGCTACTCACAAAATCCCCCAATTAAAGCTCCAGAAATAAGTTCTACACCAACCTATAGTGCAGGACACGTCTATCATTAAAAAGATGGTACAAACTAAGACATCAACAATTCATCAAACAATTAAATAAATGGTCCCATTTTGAAGAAAATAAATGGGATAACATCTTAGAATTTCGGTTGTATTATTTTGTTGGGAGAAAATAAATGTTTTGACTACAAACCTATTTACAGACAACTGCAGGTTACCGTTTCAACATGTGTAACTCTTGTTGCATGGATGTAACCTTTATAGGGTGTAACCATCTATTCAAGGGTTTACCTCATTATCTAGTTCACATATTGAAGTGGTGTATATCTTCACTCTGATTAACACCCATTTTTCTAGAGTCACGCCTCTTGGCCAATAGACGTATCTTCTTATGTGAAATTCTCATTACAATGATTACTTTATAACTTTATCAAGAGCATTCATATCATAGTCAGAAGTAAAATTTTGAATTTATAAATGACAAATAATTGCAAAAACATATTACCAAAAATGTTTTCATTAATCAAGAACGAAAGTTGGTTTTGGAAACATCTTTATTAGTAGTTCCATTTTTACTACATCACTTTAATTTTTCTCAACACATCCAAATCATGCCTTGTTCAAACTCAAATCTACAAACCACAAGCACCCTTTATTTTTCTCAAAACCCATATTTTTTCTTGCTAATTCACAACATCAAAGACTCTTAACTAAAATTCTAAATAGCAAGCAATAGGGTTGGCAAGGAGCGGTGGAACAGGTCCCTCGGCATGCTTTGCCACACAGTGAAGCTCTCCCATCCCTCCGGCTTCAGATCCTTTACAGTCAGCCACGTGTTAAAATACTCCCTGAACTGAGTGATCAACCCATCTTTGAGGGTCCACACGTGGACCCAGTAGGCCTTTGCCCCTTCCCATCCCTCAGCAATGATCACACCACCACCAATCTCTGTGATGCTTCTGGGCTCGAACCTGAAGTCAGTGTGGCTGGAATCCCCCGTGAGCACGCGCATCATATGCTGGCTCTTTGGGGGGCCATGGAACCACCATTCTAGGTCACTGGCTAGAAGCTTTCCCACTGTGTCTGTTTGGCCCTGTGCCAACGCCTTGTACATAGCTTCAACAGCTGCCTTGTTTTGCATTTTTGGTAGATTGTGAGAGAGAGAGAGGATGAACTGAGGGTGATCGCTACGAGGGGAGCGGAGTTGACTAAAAATATTGGGTTTTGCTCTCTAATTTGGGTGCATGACAATATGGCTTTCTTGAACCCCTATTTATAGCACGAACAGCCTAAAGTTACATGGCTTGAGAATAATAGAAAAATATTTAGATCCCTCTACCTAATTATTGTCTCCAAAAAAAAAAAATTATGGTTACACCATAAAATCAATTGGCAATATATCAGGAGTAACTCAGTTTACTTATAAGCCCTTGTAAGGTTTTTTGTTTCACTGACATGAGACTCTTTAACCTTTACATCCTCAAACGCCTCCTCACGTGTGACGAATTTTCAAACCATGCACGTGGACAAAACAAAATGGTTGACGTGGAGTGGCCTTTCGGCTTCATAGTTGACCAACCTGCTCTAATACCATGAAGAAAGTTGAATTTCATCCATAAAACTAATTAGCAATATGGAAAATAGTCCAACTTACTTATAAGCCCTTGCAATTTTTTTTTTTTTTTGGTGGAACTCTTTAGCTTTTATATCTTCACAATCTCTCTTCTTACAAATAAATCGCAATTTGGTATTCGTTTAGAATTTTATCCGTTTTAACAAATTATTTTTTTACGTGTCAAATTATATGTTATAGATAAACAAGTAAATGAGCTAAGCAGCCTTCTTGAGAATATACTACTTGAATGATTTATTTTCATTGCATGTATGATTAATTGGTAAGGAATTGCTCCAAAGACAATGGAGGTGTTTACTATTCGGAATGAGATATTCTCCTTCCGGCTTATTAAAAAATGATACTATGTCAAGGAAAAGCCTGCATCTTAATGAGGTTAAATATTGTGATTTATTAAATATTGATAAAGCTCTATGCTTTGTGGGGACAAACATAAGGGGTTGCTGTAGGTTGTGTAGCTACGGTTGCTGCCGATGAACACTAGAAATCTACAGAAAATTTGCTCATGTCAATTTACTTGCGCATCATCATACAACAGTTTCTTTTATTTTTGAAATCTCATATCTGGATTCTTTCTAATTTGTCATGTTCCACCGACTTAATTTGCCTAGCAGCTTCCTAAAATAGTTCCACACAACAGTTTAATATATTGTTCACACATACCTAATATGTTAAATTAAATTTCACGACTTAAAATAAAAGCTAGGGCGTGTGTTTAGGTAAATTATTTTAAGAGTATAAATCATACACCGAAGAAGGAAAGTTATGTTTAATAGTTGAAATAAGGAGAAATTTGAAATAAGTCCAAATTTGTAAGCAATTACTAGATATAATCTAATTTTATTTAATTATTGATTTAAGTCCAGTGACTCATTGTCCACGTCATTTTATTTTCATTTTTTTGTCAAAATTACCCCCTCTATTAACATTATCCTTTAATTCTAGATTTACTTGTATTATGAAATTAATTATTTATCTTTAAATAATCCCCTACTTGTAGAATTAGTTTTAAAGTATATCTCTTCTTCCATAACTCCCGTATACAATTTGTGATGTGTTCTCCGATCCCCTTCCTTCTTGTTCAGTCTTCTTCTTTCAAGTTTTAAAATTTCCAGAAAAATGTTCTCTTCCCAGGATAAATTAAACAGCCACATCCCATAGGATTATATAGAGGAAAACTCGTGTCCATAGCCCATCTTCAAAATACAGAACCGCAAGATAGATGTTGTATATTTTGTTTATCTACATGTATTATATATTTCTGTAATGAATCTATTTGTATATTTTGTTTATTCTACCTGTGTTATAGATTAACTGTGACAACCCGTTCCAAATTTTACGTTTTTATTTTATTTTAAAAGCGTGAATTTACGAAATTGCCCTAGAGGCAAGGACTTTGACTTCTGTTGACCATCGTCTAGAGAAACGTATGACTTATTCTTTTAACATATTCTCGTAATACTCGTGGATGTGAACGCATAGGCGAAAACCGTTTGCGAGTCCAGATTATATCGGTATAGTTACGGACGTTCAAAATTGGTTATTCAAGGTTTAGTGTTAATTAAATTAAATCCCCAATCAGAAATTAGTTATTTAAGGTGAAGCCCAATCAGAAAAAGAAAAAAAAAATCCCAGCTTTTTCCGTGGGTTTTCCCACTCGCGACCACCCATTTTCCAAGGCCGATTCCGGCCAACTCCGGTGGAGTTTTTCGATGCCACCACCACCATCTTGAAGCTCTCATTCCCCTCTACAAAACCCACTCAAGAACCACCTTGATTAACCATGGGATGTGGAGGTTTGAGGCCACGAAAGTTGATGAAAATCAATGGTGCTCCGGCCACCCTTTTCGATTTTCCGGCAAATCGGCAAAGCAATGGCCGATGCCACCACTTGGGCTTTGTAGCCCATCATCCCAGGAGCAAAACCCAACCAACCTTGACCCCGTTGGACCACCGTAGACGACGAATCGATGTCGGGAAGTTTTAGGCACCCGCCGGCTTCGTGGGCAAAATTGACCATCTTCCGTCCACTTTTGGACTTCGTGGCAGGTATGAAAGTTGCTCCACTCACTGAGATCTTCAATTCTGTGAAGTTTGAGAATTTTTGGAAATAGTTGGGTTTTCCGGCGAGTTGGGGCGGCCAACCGCCACCCGCGGCGGCGCGTGGCCAGTGGGCCGCCAATGCTATTTTTAGGCTATGTCGAATGTCTTGAATTCGGTTTTGTTATTTGAATGACATAGGTTGATCGTTGGAACCTAAATTCGTTACGATACATTGCTTGATGAAAATGTGAATTGACGATTCGACCGTTGGATCGTCACCAAACTTGGGTACATTATAATACGTAATATTTAAAGATCATAGGAATTTATGGATCGGGAATCCGATGTACGGATCTTCCCGAATTGGATTTGTAAGTTAGTAAAATAAATGTTCATGGCCACTTGTTTTAGGCAATTGGCGGAGATCTGACCGTTGGATCGTAATGAAATTTTAATATGTTATTCTAGAAACATATTGTGGATCGTTGGAAGTTGCGGATTGGAAATCTGATATGCGGATCTTCCGGGTCAGGTTATACAGGGTTGTAAACCCTACCGTCGATCTTTGATCGACGGTTGACTTGTGGTCAATGGGTCTCAAACTATTTTAGAATGTCGTTGAGGTTGTGTTTTATGTGAATTACATATTCTACGGATAAGAGTTCTGAGATGTGATTTGATAATTGGTCACAGGGACCAATCATTCAGGACGCCTCGATGCGTACGCTAGAGAATCATAGCGTGGACTCCAGGTGAGTGCATCTTTTCCTTTTTATCGTACATATTATTGAGAGTTCTATCGACACCTTTAAATTGATTAGGCATATTACTTCCATATATAATTATTGTGAATGCTTGAAGTACTATGTGAACTACGAATGGCTTGATCCATGTTTAGGGTACGTAGGCAGTCTAACGAGACGTTAGATGCAGCCATAAAATATTTGAGACAAAAGCCTTGCTTGGGAAATTGAGTAATGCGAAGGAAATTGGTTAAGGCAAGTTTTAGTTTTATGAATTAGTTAGTTAAATTAGTGTTAATTGGGTTGTCATGAATAATTATCCTTGAAAATAAGTAGTTTGGGAGTAGGGCGTTATTGATTGTACACTTCACACTATATTGTTTATAATTGAAAATGCTACAACATGGTTGAGTAGTAGATTGCATCATGATATATCCATATGTATATTACTTGCATATAATTATTGGGAATGCTTTCAAGTGCAAAGGTGAACTCAGGACACCCAGGTAAGTTTAGGTGAGTTTATGGTACTAGTTGAATCAATTGCGTTATAGCATGACTACAATTATGAGTTAGGCAACTTCGATACGGTCGTACTGGTTGCCATGAGTTGCACATGTTATATTGAGATGGATTGAGAGCTCATAAACCTGCACCTCGGTGTTAGTGCTCCCGCCCGTGGCCAGGGCACAGTCCTTCACGTGATGTTCACCTCCCGCACCTTACGCTCACCTTGGATCCAAGGTAGGTGCACAGTCCTGTCGTACAGACCACTTTAGGTGGTTCCGACTCGTAGGTGACCCGCGATTATTCGCCCAGTCTTCACGTGATCGTAGCATTTGAACGTATTTATTTACACCCAGTCTTGTCGTACAGACCACTTTAGGTGGTTCCGACTCGTGTGCAGGTATACTTATTGAGCTATTGGCTAGCCAGGATTGACGAGATATGGATAAGTCGTACAGGTCACTATAGGTGACTCCGACTTATATGCTAGCCAGGATTGACGAGATATGGATAAGTCGTACAGGTCACTATAGGTGACTCCGACTTATATGCTAGCCATGATTGATGAGATACGGATAAGTTGTACATGTCATTTTAGCTGACTCTGACTGATATATCACTTTGTATTGATTTAGTTCATTTGGCCTACTTATTAATGTATGGTGGATGTGATGGCAAACCGTGGTTTTGGTCATTTCCGAGTATGGTTTGGATATATGTATATATGTTGTACTGTCTTATGGAAAACGATACGGGTTTTACACTTAGGGGCATTACTTTTTGAGAGGTAGTAACTTTGGGAAGCTTGGTTTTATTGCTTACTCACACCTTCTGTTTAGTGCCCTCCAGGTTTTAGCTGCTGAGTTTGTATCGACAAGAATCTATGGCGAATCTTAGTATTGATGGATATTTTTGAGGGTATGATTCTTACCCACATTACTGCACCTTACTTATGCTCTGACATCGCGTGTGAAATGGGTTCGCTCCCACTCGTAGCGCACTTTGGTACTTAGACACTTTTAGATTCAAATTTAATCACTTTTTATACACTATCACATTTTATGGCTTCGTCACCTTCCAGGTGTCGGCCAGCACAGCTCGATCCAGGGTCCAAGTGGACTTTCTGGGTCGGGGTGTGTCATTAACTGTATTTTATCTACCTATACGATATGTTTTTGCTCATTAGTCTATCTATATCACATATTATTTTGTGTTATCTATCTATACGATAGGTTTTTATTCATAATCTACCTATATCATAGATTAATTAATATTATCTACCTACATCACAAATTTTTTATCTACCTCGACAACATTTCTTTTAATTT